CGAGAGGACGGGCAGAGGGGTCGAGGGCGAGAGGACGGGCGGGGTCGATGGCGACGGCAACGGCGACGGCGACAGGACGGGTGGGGTCGAGGGCGAGGGCGACGGTGATGGTGAGAAGATGGGCCAGGTTGAGGTTGACGGCTGGGGTGAGGGCGAGAGGACTAGCAGCTCTGGCGTTGGAAGCGGGCAACCTCCAACATGTTGTTTGAATTGCGCTGCAGACATCCATCGACCACAGGAGCAGAAGCAAAGTCGATCCATCTTTTTGTGGCAACAAAGAGAAAGAAACCAAAGGAAATCGCAAAGCTATTTCTTGTCGACTGATGACGAACCATTACTCAACTGGCGGAAGCCGCCTTAAACTTCAGTCCCGCCGGCGGGACTAAAGTTTAAACCTCGACTTCAACAACAAAGAACAAAGATGAGCGCGCGGGTGTGGCCACGAAAGGCCAGCAGCGGGAAGCCAGCAGAGGGCTGGGGCACCAAGGAAGTGGTTAAGTTCCTCAAGCAACACGACCTCCGCCCCTATGTGTCCGCCGCCAAGAGGGCCAAGGTCAAAGGCCTCCACCTCATCACCGCCTCACTCCCACAGCCTGCCCTCGCCGAGCACGGAGAGGCCTTTGTGCGGCTGTGCCAGGCCCTCGGCATCACTTCACTGCTCGACCAGGGTCGACTTCGTCTCTCGCTTCTCCACCTGCGTCCCACCACTTCTTCTGCTCCTCTTGCCTCGCTTCCTTTTGACGATCTTCCGGGCGACGCACGGCAGAAGCGAGAACGAGCCACCGGGCCGGACTTACGTTCTACGTCATCTTCCGCCACCGTAGATGAAGTGCCAAAGAGCCCGGCATCGGCGGAGACGGCGCAGCCCCTCGTGCGTTCGGCCTCGTTCGAGGCTGTCATCACACGCTCCACTTCGGCCAACCCACCTAGAGCCCAGATCGCCCCTACTAAGTCCAATTCGTGTCCCACCAAGCTGCCTAGGTCGCACACGGCCCCGCCCAGAGATGGGTCGCTGACGCCGACGCCGACGCCGCGACCGCTGTGCTGGTCGGCCCCCGACGTCGCGGCCCGACACAGCGGTGGGCGCACGAGGAGGCTGCAGGAGGCGCAGTACCGGGAGCTGCGCGAGATGCCCCTCTCGCTGGCCTACGCCTCGCTCTTCGGCACCATCGCCGTCAAGTGCGTCCTGCGCCGAAGCGGCTCCGCCGGCCCCTCGCCTCGCAATCTTTACGAGGGGTCTCTATCTTACGAGGAAAAAGAAGGCAGAGATGACGACGACGACGACGATGAAGACGACGTGTCGTTGCTGCTGCTGGACGCGCACAGGCCACTGCTCTATGCGGACCTCCTGCGCGAGATCGAACGGGTGCACGGGCCGCTGGTGGCGGCGGCGGCGAGCGGCGAGGTCGGAGTGAGGGTGCGGTACGAGGACAAGGACGGGGACGTGGTGAACGTGCACAGCGACGACGGCCTCTGCTACGCCTACAGCGACTGGCTCGCACAGATCGACGTCGAGCCCACCAAGAGCTGGCGACTCCTGATCGATTTCCGCCAGCCGCCCGCCAGCGCCACCAGCCCCCTATGAAGGGTCCACCCAAGGGGCACCACCTTTGTAAATAAACCGATTAAGTAGTGGTGGGGTGACATGCAACGTAGTGGCCTTCATGGGTCGAGCGAGCTGGTTGTGTTCATGACGTTGATGCGGAGGGCAGCGCGGTCGTTTCCTTGTGCTCGCGAAAGGTGAGGGAGATGCGACGTGACCTGCCCTCCACCTGCGGGCGAATGCCATGCTTCCTGCAGGACAGCTCTTGGTCAGTGCCCGTGGGCGCAGTGCGTGTTGCGCGCAGTAATGCGTGCGTGCGTACTGGGTGAGGCGTTGCGTTCTGAGGATGAGTGCACGCGAACAATAAAACGCACATGCCCGGGATGGGTGAAGATCATGTCCCAATCATCGAGCAGCGAGAGCGACACCACACAGTCGCCCCAGTCCGTCGTCGAATCGATGTGGGGCTTGATCTGCTCTCCCGGTTGATACTGCGCACCAGCACGTCAGAAGCTTCGTTTTAAATTTATTATTAATATTTATAATATTTAATAACAGATTTAAGGCGTGGTGGTACCTCGTTGATGATGAGTTGGTGGGCGACGAGGGGAACATGGTCATCCTGAAAGCGGTCGAGGAGGAAGCGCACGCAGGCGGGAAGGGGCGGTACGGGCGTATCGTCCACACGCTGCTTGCGGTAGGAGTAGTGGTAGCCGTACTGCTGGGTGCGGCGCTGGATCTCACCGAGCCAGGGGAGCTCATCGAGGGAGTTCACCAAGGCGGTCTCCTCGTCGACTGTGAGGTAGTCCACCACCAACGTCAGCCCCTTGGGCCACCCTTGCGTTGATGGCTGGGCTGCCATCGAGGCCTCCTGTTGCATCTTTTGAAATTTCGAGAAGTGGTAGAACCTCGATTTATTGGTTGTTGCGTGGTGGGGGCTGCTGGGGACTAGCGGCAGTCTTGTCCAGTCGCTGCTCCTGCCACAGATCAAGCTTCGATTTCAAAAATCCCTGGATCACAATCAATAATCTCGATTAATCTCACCTCCCGCGCCATTTCTTGGAATTGGAATGAAGTGAAAGATTGGGGGATCTCGTCGTACCCGCTTCTCTTTGAAGCAGTCCCAAAATGCATTGTTCTCTTCGTAGCACGTAATCATGGGAAACCACTTGGTCTCGTAGCACTGGTGAAGTGCCTGCTCGTAAGGATAGCACGCAATCCGCGCCTGCTCCTGCTCCTGCTTCCTCCTCTCCGCGGGCTGTCTCGCCGCCTTTCGGAACGCTTCCTCCTCTCTACGGCGCTGCTGCTCAGCCACCTCCTCGTCGGCGCCTGACCGCTCCATCTTCTCCTCAACGGAAGGACACAACAAATAAAATAAAATAAAATAAAAAACAATTAATATTATTTTATTTATCTCCTTTTTTCTTCTGTTTTCCACCACTTGATGTGCTGTCAGTTCTGTTCCAGCACTGGCTGTTGCTGGCTGTACAGTGAGTGAGCTGGCAGTTCGCTTGAAAGCAAGCCAGTGTTGCAAGATGGAAGTGGAAGGTAAGGCCAGCGCAACAACGGACTCTGTGCCCAGGCACCTGCCGCCGAGTCATCTGGCGCAGGCAGATTGGGATGAGGTGTATCAAGAGAAGGAGCCTGGCTCCTTTTGGGTTTCCTTTCGGCCCTCAGGTGCGCCACCAACGTCGCTGCATCGTTGATTGTTTAATCTGACGCATCTGCGTACGGCCCTGGCGTGTAGTGGAAGAGAAGGCGCTCTACGATGATGTGAAGGTGTCGAGGCAGGGCAGCGCCGTAACGTTCGACTGTGCCCAGCTGACGGCCTCGGTGGAGTGGAGGGTACCACTACATCATCATGTACCCCGGCTGGCTCTACTCTGCTCACCACGCCGCGGCGCTGCTTGTACAGAAGAGGCAGCTCACCCTCGCGCCGAGCAGCCAAAGCGAGAACAAGGGCGTCCTACAGGCGCCATCGTCTACGTGGAAGCAGATCCACCCCAACCAACGCGGTACGCCACACGTTTGGTGTTCATGACCAGCTGTGAGTAGTTGGCTCATCTATGCATCGTTCAGTGCTGTCGATGGACGTTGCGCCGGGCGGTGAGCTGGGCGTGTCGGGCGGCAGCGACAGCACCGTGCGCGTGTGGCACACGAAAGATGGTCTCATGCGGGTACTCAACCACCACGACTGTCGTGCTTGGTCCTACTCCTGTAGGCCTCACCCAACGAACCCCGTTTCTCCTCCTCGCCGCAGCGCGACCTGCAAGGGCATGTCGGGGAGATCAACCTGGTCAAGTGGTTCCCCTCGGGCAAGGTCATTCTCACCGGCGCCCAGGACCTCCGGCTCAAGGCACGCTCCTACCTTGCTTCCCATCTCTCCCGGCGCTGCACGACAGGTCGCAGAGAGAGAGCTGACGTGCGTGGCGTTGCCGGCAGATCTGGGACGTGATGACGGGACACTGCGCGACCACTCTTCAGGGACACTCTGGCGCCGTCACGGGTGCTGTCATGATCGACCGCGGCAGAAACCTCATCTGTAAGTGCTGTCGCCTCAACCCTCGTTTTTGGGCCAAAATGCGTAGACTCGGACCAGTTAACTCAATCGCGCTCTGGTGCCACGTCACAGCGACTTCGAGGGATGGTACGGCGCTGCTGTGGGACGTGCCCACCCAACAGCCGATCTCTCGATACGGCTACATCGCTGCCGACAATGCGGCCAACGCCTGTTCGCTGCTGGCTGGCCCACGCCCCGCCTGGTGCCCTAGTGGTGATGACCGTACGCTAGTGTGTGTGTGTGTGTTGTGTGTGTGTGTGTGTGTGTGTGTGTGTGTGTGTGTGTGTGTGTGTGTGTGTGTGTGTGTGTGTGTGTGTGTCGTGTGTGTGATGCGTTTCATTCTGTCCTGCAACGCCTATGCTGATTTGTGTCGTCTTCTCCAACACAACACAGAACAAGAGCCGAGTTCACCTGTTCTGCTCGTTGCCAAGGAGGAGGGCAGCATGGTGAGTTGGGACGTTCGCTCCAAGCGAGAGCTCTTCAAGGTACACAGACTCGCGAACTCGAAACTACGACCAAATATCAATTGGTATTGTGCTGCTCACACACACGTGATGCGGCCCTGTGTAGTGGAAGGCGAATGAGGCGCTCAACTGCTGCCTCGTGGCCGACGACGACGTTTGGGCTGGCGGCCAGGACGGTACCATCTTACGGTGGGACCTGCGTACCCAGTCCCTCGTCGAGACCATTCAGAGGTGCGCTCACCCACTCTCGCTCTCTCAACACTTTGCTGACGTCAGCGAGTCCATGGCTCATCTGATTACGTCACCGCAGGTCGAGGGCGCCCATTCTGTCGCTGGCGATGCGGAGGGACGCGTGGACGCCGACGCTGGCCTCGACCGAGGTGCCGCTCTCGACAGAGCCCGCCCCTCCCCCCGCTGACGGCACGGCGACCGAGGCCGTGGCTCCACGGCCGCCGGTGCCGCAGGAGAAGACGCTGTGGGTGGGCACCGGCGACGGCCTGTGCTTCGAGTGGGGCGTTGACGACAAGAGAGTGCACCGCGACTTGACCGGTACCTCCTCTTTCGTCTCCGTTACGGCTCCGTCACGTGCGTTGCGTGGTAACATTCGTCGTTCGGTCGTGTGTTGTTTGGGGCCATCAGGTTCGGACTGCGACCACATCAACTCGGTGGTGGTGCTCAACGACTCCGCCTTCGTGGCCTGTGGCGATGGCACCATCAGGAAGTACAAGACCCTCTAGTGACCCACACACGGCACTCGTTTGTTGAATGGACGTTTTCCTTTTTTTTAATCCTTGCTTGGCATGTTCGTTGTTGTGGTGCACCACCACCTTCTACGGAAGGCCTTCCTTGGCGCGCTGCTCGCGCTCTTTCTCCTCCTGCCCCGCCCGGCCCATCAACTCGTCCGCCGTCATGAAGCGGCCTGTGTGTGATGGTGCGATGGTGTCAGCCCAAGCAAAGAAAGAAGAACGAAGAAAAAGAGACAAAAAGAACGAAGCGGGGGGGGGGTGGATACCGGAGATGCACACGGTGTACTCGTTGCTGAAGTGCTGCTTGAGGAAGAGACCAAAATTGCGGAGGTGCTGCGGGTGCTTGGGGTCGCGCCGGAGGGCCAGCTCGAAGTACACCCGCGCCCGCTCCACCAGCTCCTCCCGCTTCTGCTTCATCCCCTCTCCCGGCTGCTCGCTCATCAACAGCTCGTTCGCCTGGTCGCGCGCCACCTCTCAACGTTAGTCACCGCACACGCGCACACAACCGCACACGCCAGCCGCACGAGCACACGCACGTACCATTTTGAGGGACATGCAGGCGTAGTTGTTGCAGGCGGAGGAGAGAGGGTTGAGGGTCTTGATGGCGGCGAGGTAGAGGTGGTGGGCGTCGACGTAGGCGTGCAGGTGCGTGAACAGGAAATCCGCGTATGTACACAGTATCCGGGACTGAGGATCCCTGTCCTTCGACAGCGCCTGGATTTCGCATCATATGGGTGAGCTGGCGAGGAGTGCGTGTCGTGTCGTGTCGTGTCGTGTGCGTGTCGTGTTGAGAGGAAGGGTGGACTCGTACGAGGAGATAGGTGTCCTCGGCCTGTTCGAAAAGATTGCACTTCTCCAGGAAGATGGCGTACTTGAGCAGGATCTGCGGGTCCTGCTTGCTCACCGCCACGGCGCTCTCATAGTACATGTCCGCCTGGCACCGCGCAGATGTCAACAGACAGATTGCGCGACACACAAGAGACACGGTGTGACGCGACACGCACGACACACGAGGCGGAGAACAGTTCAGGATGATGGCGCACCTTCTCGAGTTGAGTAAGAGCGACGTGGCTGTCGGCCAGAAGTGTGTAGAGGTTGGCCGAGCCGTAGCCTTGCCGCAGCGCCCTGCGTAGCGGATCGAGAGTGGCTTGAGCCACACGCGCACAACCGTAACAGGCAACACAACACGACACGACACGCACAGAACAGGACACACGCGGGCACTGGGGTGGGTTGAAGGTGGGGGGGGAGAACCTCTTGAAGTAGTCGACGGCGAGGATGTAGAAGTGACGAGCCTCCTTGTCCTGCTTCTCCTCGGCCTTGAACGCCGCCTTTCTGTACATGAGGTAGCCCTACGACCGCACACACGCGCACCTTTTGAGCAGACCGCACACGCACTACCGCGCGCACACACGCGCGCACGCGCACCACCGCACACGCACGTATACGTACTTGAGCGTAGAGGGAGAGGGGAGTGGATTCGATGCGATCGACGAGCCGAGAGAAGTCAGCGTCGTCCAGCGGGTAGTCGGCATCGAATGCTCGCGGGTTGCCTTGAAACAGCTTCTTCGACGCCTTCACCCATCGCAGCCCGACTAGCAGGCAACGTGTGTGTGTGTGCGGTGCGTGCGGTGCGTGTGTGAGCGAGAGAGGCAGACAGTAGAGGAGGCCTCAAGACGTCAATGGAACTCGTTACCAGATTCGTTGATGTGTTGGTAGATCCAGAGACGGCCGTCCGTTTCACCCTTCACGTCGGCGTGCGGGGTCACCACGTAGTGCTATTGCCATGCAACACGCACACACGCCTTAAGAGACGCTCGTGCGCACCGTGTGTGTCGCGTGTGTCGTGCGGGTCATGTGTCGTGTGCCGTGTGTGTCGTGTGTCGTGTGTGAGTATAGTGTGACAGGCCGGGTACCCGGAGATTGAAGGCCGGAGTGGCGCCCGTGATGCAGCCCTCGAACTTGCTCTCCAGGAGGGGCTGCATGTCGTCCTTCCAAAACATCTCCGCGTCTTCGCCCACGCCCAGCGTGAGGTTCAAGATATCCACCTGCCCGGTCACAAGACACGCACACGCACACGCGCGCACACACACGCACACGCACACGCGCAAAATACGTCGCACATGGCGCGGTAAGAAGACCGGGGGGAGTAGGTGGGTGAGGGCGGTTACGTCGTACCATGGAGGAAACGAGCTGCGACTCGCCGGGTGCGTTCTCGGTGGCGTGCTTGCGGACATGGTAGCGCATCGCCGCCCGCAGCAGGTACTTGGTCACTCGGGACACCATCTCGATCATCAAATACCAACGCCAGGCCACCGCTGTGCGTGTGTCGTGTGTCGTGTGCGGCGGTGGGTGCGTGTGTGTCATGGCGTGTGTGAACACAAGCGTTGTGTGTGCGCACACGTACAGACAGCGATCAAGGGGGAGGGGGCGTGGCGTACATGTGGAGTGATGGCGCACGAGGCCCAGGTAGCGCAGGTTGATGCCGCGGGAGTGGAGGGTCGAGGTGAGGAACTGCGAGCTGTAGAGGGACACATCCCACCCGTCCATCTCGCGCGCAAAGTCGGGCACCAGCACCTGCGCACAACAACATTCGCCACACCACCAGCATTGTGGTGTTACCACGCGTGCGGCGCGGTGTGTGCGTGCGGTATGTGGCCGTGCGCGCTGTGGGTGCGTGTGCGTACGGTTTTGAGGTAGGTGGTGGCCTCGTCGATCTGCTCCTCGTGCTCGCTGGCTGCGGTGGTCTTGGCCGGGCTGGAGTTTGGGGGGGGGGTCAAGGGTTCAGCGAGAACGTGAGTCAACACTTTGGCCAAACCGACGAAGTGGGAGGGACCAGTAGTGGGCGTACTTGTAGGCCTCCGAGCAGAGGGCGCGCGGGTACTTGATCACAAACTCGGGTCGCAACAGCCGCACCAGATGCGCACCTTTGACACTGCGGTGTGCCCAATGAAGAGATGGAAACGGAGTCACACGACACCACACGACACAGGCGGTGAGGAGGGCGCATGCGATCGACCCACACAGTACGGCACGGCCATGGCACACGTGTGGTGACAAGGCGACACGCACTCTGGTGGCGGCTGCTCGCAGGGAAACAGGCGCCCAAAATTGGCCAGGTACAGGCGTCCATCCTTGGTGACGTCAAGTCAATGTGAGCGGTTGTCAGCTGTCGTGTGTGTGTGTGTGTGTGTGTGTGTGTGTGTGTGTGTGTGTGTGTGTGTGTGTGTGTGGTTGCGAGTGTGCCGCGAGTGTCGTGCGTACCCATTCACGGGTGGCGATGAGGTCGGTGGGCGTGTAGAACTTGGCCCAGCCCGCCGAGTAGGACTGCAGGTTCAGCCTCCGGCAGATCTTCTTCAGCTTCTTGTGCACCGTGCGGTTCCTGCGATGATGGTCGGTCGAGTGTGAGCCTGGCATCCGCCCTACTCTAGCGTTGGGGGGGGGACACAGCGCAGCGTAGGTACCATTTCACCGCCTCGGCGCCGCCACCTCCGCTGTCTCCGTGCACTACATCGCCCTTGCCGGGCGGGCATGACGTGGCTGGCAAGAGTAGTCGCTGGTGAGTGTAATGCACGTGTCGTGTGTCGTGTCTTGTGCGGTGGTGGTGATGGTGGTCGTGGTCGTGGTGGTCGTGGTCGTGGTGGTGGTGGTCGTCGTGGTGGTCGTGGTCGTGGTCGTCGTGGTCGTCGTGGTGGTGGCGGCCGCGGCACCATAAATGCGGAATCCGCGAAAGTCGACGGTGCAGGTCAGGGGGAAGTAGACGTCCCGGATCTTTTCCTCGATCACGCACGCCACCATGTGCATGAGGGCCTGCATGTCGTGGCTCATCGCCTTCGACGCGCCCTCTGCTCGTGCGCGCGTGCGTGCGTGTTTTGCGAGCGCGCGTGTTGCAGTTTAGCAATCCATCCGTCCTACACTCCAGCGCTCCCATTCTCCAAGGCGCAACAGAACAGCGGCCAAACTTCGTACCAGTGGACGGGAATAGATTGGAGCTGTTGTTGGCCACTCGAAAGTGGATGTCCTGCGCCACGAACTCCTCAACCCCTGGCGCTGCAGCGGCCACACATATGCGACACACAAACATGAATGAAAAGCGCGTCGTCGCGTGGAGTCGAGCCAGCATCACCGAACCACGAGCGAGCGAGCGCGGAGGAGGGAGGTCAAGGTGGTGGGTACGAACCACAGGTGGACAGTGGTCTGATGGTCTTTTGCGAGGCCGGGAAGCAGAGCTCCGAAATGATGGCCTGCATCGATGTACGGTCGTTAGGGGGAGAGGAGGAGAGGGGGAAGACGTGTTGGTGGAGGAGAGGAGAATTGTGTGGAAGCGAGCCCACCTTGGCAAACGGGCGCACGGTGCTCGTGAAATCGGTGACCAGCTGTACCAGCGACGAGTAGGCGATCACCATGTCCTCGCTGTCCTCTCCCACTGCGCATTGATCAGCAAATAGCGGCAATGTCACTATCTACTGCCCAACACATTCCAAGGCACGAGGTACAACACACACACACACACACACACACACACACACACACACACACACACACACACACACACACACGCAACATCAATAATGGGCCTCCACGTACCATCGCTACATCGCAGCGAGTCCAGCACCCGTGCGAAGGACGTCGACCAGTCCGTGTTGCGTGCGCTCTTCTGAGGCGCTGAGCCTGTAGGCCAAGAAATCATCAGGTTAGTAGATGTCTCCGGGCTCTGGTCTATTTCGTGGGTGCGGTGCGTGGGCGTGTGCGGTGGTGCAGTACCGATAAGAACGGCCTCGGTGCCGCGACTCTTGCGCGGGGAAGAGCTGAAGTCCATGCTCCGCCGTTCAAGCAAACGCTTGATCCCTTTCCGCGCGGCGTGGCCCAGCGGAAGCGCCTCCCTCTTCCCCTCGCCGTCTTCGCACTCTCTGCGCACACCGGACAGCTCAAATGTCAGTGTCGACTCAAGCCCAACGTGTGTGTGTGGGTGTGTGGGTGTGTGTGGGTGGGTGTGGGTGTGTGTGGGTGTGTGTGGGTGGTGTGTGTGGTGTGTGTGTGTGGTCGTACTTGAGCTCCTGCTCGTAGATGGCCAGCTCCCGCCTAGCTTCGGCCATGCAGCTGATGTACCCCTTGTCCTCGTCGCCAGTTTCATCGTACAGCCACCCCTCGCACAGCTCTTCCTCGTCGCCGCTGCCCTCCTCGTCTTCGTCGTCGTCGCTCCCGTCGCTACGCACCAGCGCCAGGTTGAACAGCTGAGGCGTGGGCTTCTCCAGATCCGACGCGCTCCTTTTTCTTCGGCCCACGAAGGTACTGCAGGAAGTAGAGCAACAATATAAGCCACCACGCGCGCACGCACCACCGCACACGACACACGATGAACCTCGGGGCAGAATCTGAATTGGACAAAGGCGTGTCCTCGCTTCTGGGAGTTGGCGTTGACGGCAAGCGGGCGGACATAGAACCCGAAGGGGTTCCGAAATTTCTCGATCTGTACGTACCGTCACAACAAGTGTTAAGACCGGACGCACGCACGCACGCACATATGATGCAATGGTAGATGTACCCGCGGAGACCGATGAACGAGCCCGAGCCGTTGGGATTGAACTGTAGTGAAGGGGGACGCTCGGGCTTCATTCGGCGTGTGTTGACGGTCGCCTTCACCGCCGGGGGTCCGGGCGAATTCAGGGGCGACGCCACAGCACCCACTATCGAGTCGCCCCGATGTCTGCTAAAGTAGGTGTTGGACCGAGCGCGGAAGCTGGCCCTCCGCGACATCTCGATGTCCATCTCGCTCAGCGCGAATGCCCGCTTGCGCAGGCTACACCCCCAAATAATAAGTAGTGTGAGTAATAATTTCAGTCACACGAAAAAAAAACAGTAGCGGAGCATGTGGTCTCGGGGTACCGTAGGATCAGCTCCTCCCTGCGCGCCTGGAACCGCTCCTGATCCAGGTCTGGCTCGGGCAGGATGGGCTTATCTGTGGTCGGTCCCTCCTTGTCTTTGTCTGTGGAGATGGGAGTGAGTGTAGTTTCGGGGGCGCAGCGCAGCTGCCGGGGGAGGGGTGAGCGAACCGCTGGAGGGTTGCATCATGGCAAAGAGGCGCGATAAGGAGTCGGCCTTCTTGGCGCTCGTGGCCTCGGTGGCGTTGGCGGGCTGCACCAGGCACTTCTCGAACACCATAGGTGAATGCTTTGCGGCGTCCTCGCTGTGTGGATGCCGCGTGAACAGCGGCGCCTTGGCTGCACGTCATGGAACGCCAACATCGGTGTGAGTAAGCTGCGCGCGTGGGTGCCACTAACGCACAGGGGAGCGTACGGGCCGAGCGAGTGTGCTGCAGGCACGATGAGGAGTAGCGGACGAGGTTTCTAGCAGTGTGGGTGTCGGGGGTTGTGAGGACGACGAATCGCCGTGCCGGGGTCTGCTCCACGACTCGGCGATCCACCACGGACGACCGCTTGTAGCGATTCATGCTCGTCTCTGCGTGTCGCGTCGTGTCGCGTCGTGTCGTGTGTTCAGACGCAATGACCAACGCACGAAGTGTGCTCGCAAGCAATGCGTACCCCCAACTTTGTGGTGCAGGTTTCTCGGCAGGGTGAGCGAGAACGTGGGGTTGCGCACCCGCACGCTCTCCTCCTTCTCGGCTCGGGGCGTGCCCGCCGTTTCGCCCTTCTCCTGGGCCTTTGGAGACGCGCCCGACTCGCCCTTGGCCGCTGCGAACGCATACGACAGGACCGCACACGGGCTGGGATGTGAGTTGAACGGAGGAGCGAACGGGATGAGGTGTTGTTTGGAGAGCGTACTGGCGAAGGTGGTGACGACCGGCCGGCCCACGGCGGCGGCGCGGGCGTCGAGCAGCTCTACGATGTGCTTAGCCTCCTGTCCCGCGGCGATGTCGCGCGCCGTGCCGGTTTTGGGCGCGGCGATGGATGAGTCGATGCCAGCTTCGAGCAGCAGACTCACCACCTGCTCCATGCCCGCTCGCACCGCCATGTGCAGTGCAGTTTCACCATAACTGTCCAGTAGTGAGCAGCCGCTCGTGAGATTTACATCCGGAACGACACGACACGCAAGTGGAGTTCGTACTTGTTGAGTGCGTTGATGTTGGCGTTGCGCTGGATGAGGAAGGTGAGCACGTGGGGGCTGCCTCGAGTGGCGGCGGTGTGCAGCGGCGTGTCGCCGTTCTTGTTCTTGGCGTTGATGAGCGACTCGCGGCCTTTCTGGTGCAGCAGCGCGCCAAGTACGCGGAAGTAGGTGTCGCTCTGGCTGCCGTTGCCGCCCATGAGATCCTCCTCGGACCGCAGACGCCGCAGGCCGAACAGGGACTTGCGGGCCTCGCTGCGGTCGTGAACGTTGTGGCGCCTGAGCGTGCTGGACGAGCCGGCCTCGATCTGCGGCGGCGGCACATGACGCACAAAGTAGTGTAGCGGGGTGGACTGGTCGACCGAGACCAGGTTGACGTCGACGCCCACGCGCAGCACCAGGTACTCAATCATCTCGAGATTGCCCGCGGCGCAGGCGATGTGCAGCGGCGTCCACCCGCTCTTATCGACCGTGTTGTGGCCCATGCTCTGACCCTCGATCAGGAATCGCACGATCTCCATCTGATTGGCCTCCACGGCCAGATGAAGGATGTTCTGGCCGCGACGGTCTACCGTCTCCGTCGCCTGCTCGGCCGTCCACTCACCCGGCCTCGATTTCGAGTTGCTCTTCTTGGGGAACAGCTTCTTCACCTCCTTTAGGTTCCCCTCCTTCACCATCAGCGCCAGCATTTTGTTCATCTTCTCTTCTTTCTCTCCTCTGTAGATCTCTATCTATCTCTCTATCTCTCCAAATGCGATTTGATTTCGGTTTGAGAGCTCCTAGCACGTCGTGATCGTCGTGGTCGTGGTCGTCGTGAAAGAAGACGACGCCGTTCGCATAGGAATGGGGAGATGGACGGTGTGCGTTTCCAACCCACCAACGTCGTCCCCAGGAAGAGAGAGCCAAAAGAGATTTGCAGAGAGGGCGGGAGGTGTCGTGCCCACCTTTTTCGCCAGTCCTGGCCACCAGCTGCGGCCACCCGTTTTCGGCAGACCTTCCCATTTTAGGGTCCTGCAGTGAAGGAATGTCAAGAATGCAGGTGTGTGCCCTCCTATGTGTGTGCGGTGGTGCGTGTGCGGTGTACGCACTCAAGCGTGTCACGCAAACCAGTGCATGAGCTCACGAGGAATGTCCGCGGGCCAGCCGCGATGGCACGAGTAGATGGGCACGAAGTTGCGTTTATTGCTTCGCGCACGGCGCTGTCGTCTTACACGTTCAAGCCGCCAGCTCGCCTTCCTCTCTGGGGTTCTTCTCTTCTTCTTCCCCATGTGCGACGTTCGACGTCGATGCTTCGTCTTCCTGGTGCTTCGCCTTCTTGTTGTCCCTGCTCGTCTCGTCTTCTCCCTTATCACTCCTGTTCCTCTCCACTTCCGCACTCCTGCTCCTCTTCCTGTCTCGCCGATCGTCGCTGTCCCTGTCCCTCGACCTGCTCCTGCTCCTGCTGTCTCTTCTCCTTCTTCTCTCCCGGTCCCGGTCCTGGTCTCGATCGCGCCCGCGGTCTCTCCTGTTCTCTCGGCTCCTCGACCTGCTGCGTCGGTCTCGGTCTCGGTCCCGGTCCCTGTCTCTGCGGTCGCGATCTCTGTCCCTGTCCCTGTAGTCCCGATCGCGGTCGCGGTCCCTGCGGTCCCTGTCGCGGTCGCGGTCGTTGTCACGGTCGCGGTCGCGGTCGCGGTCGTCATCCCTGCGTCGCCGGTCTCGGCTCTCTTCGTCGCGCTCACGGCTGTCACGTCTGCTGTCGCGGTCTCGGTCGTCCCTGCGTCGCCGGTCTCGGCTCTCTTCGTCGCGCTCACGGCTGTTGTCGTCCCTCCTCCTCCGGCTGCGCTCCTCGTCGCGTCTTCCATTGTTGGGCGATGACCGCCTGTCCTCGTCTTCGTCGCGGTCCCGCCTTCCTCGCTGTTGTCGCTCCTCCTTCTCTCTTGCCGTGCTGCGGCTGCGGCTGCGGTCGTCGCTGCGTCGCTGATCGGCCCCGCGACGGTCGTCTGCGTCGTCATCGTCGTCCCCATTGTCTTCGGTACCCGAGAGGTCCTCGAGATCCTCGAGCATGCTGCGTCGAGGACCCGGAAGCAGCTCCTGCTGTTCGAGCGTGTAGCGCTTGGGCAGGAAGGGCAGCACGACGTCGCACGAGTAGTTGGCGTGGAGGAGCTCGTCGATGAATTCATCGACGTGCGTGATCTGGCTGCCGCCCGATTCGACCTTCTTCCTGACCTTCCTCCAATCGACGTAGAGCGGCTCGAGCAGATTGTAGATCTCCTGCGGCTTCCCGACGAGACGAAGGTAGAATGCGCCCAACATGCGCACGTAGCGGTGTTCCTCGTTCTTGATGAATTCGTGCACGATCTCGCGTTCGGGCTGGATCTGGAGCATCTTGAGCACGAGGCACATGAAATGCGTCGGCTTGCGATTGCCTCCATACGTGCCTCCAAAATTCTTCAGCTCCATGGCCTTCTCGGCGAGCCCCTCGGCAGTGAGACCGAAGCAGTCGCCCTTCCAATACGGATTGTTGTAGATTCGATTACGCAAAATCTTCTCAAGCAGAAACTGCGGATTGGTGCCATGCACCGTCTTTGCGAGGGGGTCCGTCCGATTCGCCATCGTGGCCTGCCGAGGCGAGTGAAAAGAAGAGCTAATCAGATCACTCGTTCGATCTTGGCAAAAGTGGAGAAGAGAAAGAAAAGGACGGAAACCTTCTGCGCCCGTGAAAACTAATTTCCTTTCACATTCGTGTTGTGCTGATCAACGAGCGATTGGCCAGAATGGTACGCCTCCCTTTTTCCTGCTTACCCGCATGCTTGGCGCGGAAGGAGAGGAGAGTGGCAGTGCATGCCGAGATGAAGCCTCACCTATTTTAATAATAATCATTTTACATCTATTAATTGTTTGTCGATTTTGTGGCCGGCCTCCAGAACACTGCGGCGAAGAAGGGTCCGGCGGCCACGGCCGCGGGTGCGAAGGAGCCCATGCCCCTCACCCTCAAAGGTCTCCCACAGCAAGCCACATGGCCCATCTTGCAACTTCGAAGACGGCAGTTAACTCACACACTGCCTGCTCGCGCGTGCTTCTGTTGGCAACTGCAGTGATGCGACTGTCCAAGCCGACGCTCCAGTTTCAGCCGCCGGTGCTAGTCGAAGCCGACGACGCTCCCTACCCACTCTCCAAGTGCGTTGCACACGCTCACCCCTCCCGCTGGACCTGAGGTTGTTGAGCTCACGCTCGCTTCGTTAGAACCGGGGAAGATCAGCCGACTATGACCTCTTCCAACGTACAGAACGCCTTCTCGCTCAGCCCGGGCCTCAATCTTCCCCGTGCCTTCGGGTACTCGACTCGAATGTCCTCCTTTTGATTCACATTCCAGCACCAACACGCCCCGCTCACGGCACGACACGCAACACCATTTTGCCCGGCAGTAACATCTACGTCGGCGAAACGTTCTGTAGCTATATCAGCCTGTACAACCACACCCAGAGCGACCTCCACCTCGTAGGACTTCGGGTAGCCTTTCCTCTCTCTTCTCTCTTTCTCACTCTCCACTCTCCATACCACGTGTGCCTTACCGGGAGATCGGCACAGGCGGAACTCAACACGAAGGTCCTCAAGAACTTGCTCATCGATCAAACCACAGCCGGGGTACGGCCTGAGTGTCTCCACTGGTTGCACAATCCCTCTCAACCTCGCCCACACCACACAGTCAATCCAGCGACTAGCGGCCGGGGAGAGGCATGACTTCATCGTCCGCTACCGCGTAGTAGAACCCACCATGCACATGTACCTTCTTCTCCCCGGCTTTCGCATGGTCAACCAGCGTCTGACGTCGTGATATTGAGATCACTCACATGCGTGTGTGCGTGCGCAAAGACTCGTCTGCACCATCTCTTATGCGAAGGGCGGCGAAAAGAAGTCCTTCCGCAAGTTCTTCAAGTTCACCGTCGTCGACTCCTTCGAGTGGAAGCAGCGCATATTCCACATCAAGGTCTCCCTTACCCCTCCCCCCAACCCAAACAAAGACCCGCACAATACCGCACGACATCGTGCAAACGAATCCCCGAGTGGATCTCTTAATGACGTTGCGCCCTTGTGTTGAACGCGACACAGGATGATACGCTCCTCGAGGTGCAACTGCGAAACGTGGCGCGCAACGCCGTGTTCCTAAACAACGTCAAGTACGGACCGTGCGTGTGCATGACCAGTCTCTTGGGGGTCGCCATTTCTGACAAAGCCGCTCGTCACACACGACACGACACAGGCTCATCTCGAAGGCTTGGCTCGTGTCGACAATCACACCCGCGGTCAGCGCCACCGACCCACTCAGTACGGGCGAGAGGTACTGCTCCTTTGGACTGACTGACTGGCCTGCCCACCCGCCACAGGCGCCTTTTCCTCTCTTCATAAGCTCCTCTTTTCACTGTCGATTTCGTGGTGGTGTCCAGCGCATTCAACCCGGGCACGGCGCGAAGCTACCTGTTCCAGCTGCGACCGCGGCGAGGCGCCGCCGACGCGACGATGTACACCAAGCGACTGCGCAATCGGGTGAGCGACGCGGATAGCGCCGGCGCCAACGAGGACGACGAGGAAACCGACAGCTCCACCAGCGACGGTAGAGTTCTCTCCTCTCCTTGGCATTGGTGCGAAGCGATGCACAGGGCGGCTCACCCAAGCTCTCGGGGGGGGGGGGTGTTGAGCTCACAGAGATGCAGATCGAGTTGGCCCGGATCAAGCTGGAGGCCGACGAAATGGTCCTGGGAAAACTCCTGCTGTCGTGGCACACGTCCTTCGGCGAAACAGGAACCAGGAAGATTCTCGTCAAACACAAGGTGCCTTGTACCCCCCGCCCCGGGCCTTCCGTCGGATGATGTGGTCTCATCACCTCGAGCGCTGCGTGTCGTCCCACAGCCGAGCCCTTCGCCGGAAGTCGAGATCAGCATCACGAGCATTGCGAGCGCCATCACGCTGGAAACGCCCTTCCCGGCCACTGTGACCGTGACCAACAAGTACGCGAAAGAGCGAAAACGAAAACGAAAGATCTCGCGCTGGACTAACACCGCCTTTTCCCGTGGGGGGCGGGGGCGAGCAGGTTGCCGAGACCGATTTTGCCGTGGGTGCAGCTGGCCCAGGACCACACGGCCAATGTGGTCGCCGCGGGCTTGTCCGCCGGCTTTGTACGTTCTCCCTCCCCGCCACACTCCCCACCACTCTCGTGTCCCTCACCCTCCGCAACACCGGACCACCGCACACGCTAGAAATTGGAGGAGATACCATCAGGCGGTTCGAAGAGTGCCGAGGTGGCCTTCCTGCCGCTGCAGGCGGGCATACAGACCATCACAGGCATCTCCGTGCTCGACAAGAAGACCGGGCGCGTCTACGCCTGTCCCGACCACGAAATCCTCGTCCTCCAGCCGCCGATCCCATGATCACGCGATGAGCTCTTCCCTTCTTCCATCTTGATCTCTTGCCGACACACAGCACGACACGCACACCGCACCCGCACCCGAGACCGCGTCCGGGCGGAAAAGGAGCTACCAGCACAAGCCACCCGTGGCGTCGCACAGACCAAAGAAGGACAACGGCGTTGGTTGGTGCTGGGCGGTTGTTGGTGGATTTCGGTGCAAACCAAATCAGAGTTGTCCGCAAATAATTGATGGCCAATATCCTGGCGATACAGTTATTAATTGTGCAACAGGTGGGAGTTGCATTTTTGATCAAATAAATAGTGCCTGTGGAGGTGAAGAATCGAAGCGAAAAGAAAGAGACCAGCCGCACGCAACTTCGTGGGGCGTAGAGATTAAAGGCCGTCGAGGATTGGAGAGGGAGAAAATCGAGTTTAGACCCGTCGAACTGCTTTCCTCCACCCCCCCCCGCGGGCTGGTAAAGAACGAAGACGAGAGAGGATTGGATTGCCATTCGAATTGGATTCGGTTGGCGGTCGAATGAAATAGGCCGACTGGGGAGCAACGACGATTGGACCTTCGCGTGAATTTGTCGCCTCAGGTACGCCCGCCAGTTCAACAATTTGAATTTGCGATTTGGACGATATAATAATTCTAATTGCTGTCGTGTTGCGGTAATCGAATTGTCTTGCATCTTTTTGATGGTACGGCAATTAATTGCATTTAATCCATTTATTAGGTGTAGAGGTCTGAGGATGGAGGTTCGGGTGGACGTCCTGCGGCCGATGGGCCGACGGGCGGCCAGCAACGACGATGTCGTCCCCAAATCCAAAAACAAAGCCCATCAATCGTTGTCGCGAAGAACAAACACCGCCCTCGCAAAATCATCTGGACCCTCCCCTGCCAATCTCACCTCGTACATCTTTTCCCCTCCCTCGCTCTTCGTTCTCTTTCGTTCTTCGCTTTCGCTCTTCCCCCCCCCCTCTCGCTTTCGCTCTTTGACGTCGTCGTGTGGCAGACGCAGAAGCATAACGAAGGGCGGTTTCGACGAGAGCGGACGCGAAACAGAAGAAGACGAAGACGAAGACGAAGAGGGAGAAAGCATGCACAACACATCATCACGATTTCACCACCACCGGCCCAGCCGCCACGGAGACCATGACGACGACGAGGAGGGAGAGGAAGAGAGTGGCGACGGTGGGTCCGGAGGAAACCACGCCCTGCGGATGTCCGATCCGCGGCTGGCCAGCCTGCGCCGCAACCGAGTGTCGTCCCTTCCACCGACCCAGTCGGCCTCGGAGTTGACAGTGGCCCACGCCGCGGCCATCCCGCGTCACCTGCTGCTGCGCCAGCGCAGCGAAAGCCACCCGCCCGACCGCTTCCGCCCGACGGCGCGACGATCCGCGCAGCAGAACCATCAGCAGGGCGGCGGTGGCGACGACGGCAACGGGGAGAGCACGCAGAGCGACGACTACGAAATCGAGGAGGGCGAGGAGGGATACGGGAGTGTCGAGAACGTCGAGGCGGTCGACGAAGAGGACGACGATCATGGAGGAGAGGAGGAAGAGAACGAGAACGAAATGGGGAACGAGAGTGGAACGCGTAGGACGCCGCGCCGGTCGGCGCTGTCGCCTCGCCGTCTGTACGCGGTCCAGGCGCCCGATCTCGACTTTGGAATCGTGTCCGCCTCCGGCCCAGGCGATTCCTTTTCCACCACCACCTCCTCTTCCTCCTCCTCTTCCACCACTACCAAGTCTTCGTCACGATCGTCGTCATCGTCATCTTCATCTTCATCGTCGTCGTCAAGAGCGCCACGATCCAGAACCGCAGCAGCGACTGCAGAGCTGTCGCCACCGGTGTCGCCGTCGTCATCTCCGCCGCAGCCGACCTACACCAACCCACCGGTGGGCCTGCCGCCGGCGGGCCTCTACCCGCGCACCAACTCGTTCGGCACGATGTCGCCGCGCAAGGCTAACGCGCGCCGGTTGCTCATGTCGACCTCGCTCTCGTCGTCGGCCATCATGAAGGCCCCGCCCCTGTCGCCCAGCGCGACGCCGCCGAGCACGATGACCAAGCGGACCAGCTCGTCGTCGTCCCTCCAGTTGGCCTCGCCCGGCCGACGCATCACCTCTGTCTCGCAACCCGTGGCCACGCTGCCCACCCTCAACTTCGACGATACCACCCCAATTGAGGTGCGTGTGTGCGATTGTGCGTGTGCGGTCACGTGTGTCGTGTACCACGTCTGACCTTGTGCGATTGGTGCGTGTGCAGCAGGACGCGCGGAGTGTGAAGGATCGGCGCATGTCATCGTCGGTCAACGAATACGAGCTCGAGTTCCGCGCTGTGGAGATGGGTTGGCACACCCGCGACGACCCCTCTAGCAGCGACCGGCCGCCGGCTGCCGGCCGCACCCGCAACAGCCTGCGCTCCTCCGACGAAGAAATGCTGGGTGGCGGACCGACCTCCACCTCCACCTCGTCGTCATCGTCTTCATCAGCGCCCTTCTCGCCCAAGCACTCGCGGTCGCGTTCCATCAACCGACTGTCGTGTTCGGCCCAGCTCCACCCGGGCGGCTCCACGCTGCGCAACGCCATCTCGCCGCGCGCGCTGCCGTCGCTTTCGCTCTCGGGCTCACTGCAGTCGACGTCGGCGACGAACTCGCCCACCGGGTCGCCCGGCCACTCGCCGCTCTCGTCGCCCAAGGCGATCCCCACCTCCACCGCCGCCGCCAGGCATCACCCGGGTTCGCCCCTCTCACTCTCGCCCGGCACCAGCTGCTCGCCGCCCTCGCCCATGATGCCGGCCCCGACGCCGGCCACCACGCCGTCGTCTTCGGCTTCGTCGACCTCGCTGGCCACCCGAACCGACGCTTTTAACTCCTATGCGCGCACGTTCAAGTCCTTGCCGGCCTACGGCAGCGGCAGCGGCAGCGAGGAGAGCGAAGAGGGCGAATCGTTGTCGTCGTCTCAGTCGCGGCAGCCGGGCGCCGAGCGGCGTCGACGCGGCGGCGGCAGCGGCATCATGCGCGGCGGGTACCGAGACAGCGACGGCAGTGGAGGCAGCAGCGAGAGCGACTACTACCGCGAGAGCGAAAGCGACGACACAAAGGGCGAAGGCAGCGGCGGCGAGACTGGTGGTAGTGGCGGTGGCGGGCCGTTCCTATACCGGGCTGACAGCCTGGGCACGTCCGACAGCTTCAAGCCACGGAAGAGCCTCTTCGCCGACCCCAAGAAGCGCTACAAGAGCCACACCCTGCACCACCACCGCTCGCCCCGCGGCCTCAGCCAAGCGGCCAACTACAACTCCATGGGTGCGCCCCCGCTCCTTCTCCCCCCCCCCACACCATATTTCTTTGTCGTCGTCTAAAGAATGAATGCGACGAATGTGTGGGTCGTGCGCAGGCATTGTCGCTGTGCCGCCGCATCGGATGGGGAGACAGAGTATCGATGACGACATCCAGGCCATGCACGCCAAGGAGGAGCGACGACGCGCCAAGGCCGCCGCGCAGGCCGACGGCACGAGGCCCACACGTAAGTACGGCAGCGACGGCGAGTCTTCGTCCTCCACCTCTTCGTCGTCGTCGGCGGCGGCCTCTTCTCCCTCCTCACCCAAGCCCCGACCCATTTCCATGCGCGCCTCGGCATCGACCGCAGCCTCGGGCGTCGTGTCGCCGCGATCCAAGCGCTACAGCCTGGAGAGCCCCGGGCGCATCTCCAAGACCGTGCGCAGCGACGAGGAGCGCAAGGAGTCCAAGGAGCGACTCAAGGCCGAAAGAGAGAAAGACAAAGGCAACGAGAAGAACGAAAACGAAAACGAAAACGAAAAGGAAAAGAAGGGCGGGTCGGGCATCGTCCGCACCATCCGCATGAGCAAGGAGCTCAAGCAGGAGATCGAGCAGAAAGGTGCCATGACCAAGCGCGCTCTGCGCAGCAGCTCGGGTGTGGCCGAAGGCGGCGTCAGCGGCAACGCAGAGAGCGAAGCCGTGGAGAGCAGCGTCGCCAGCGGCGGAGGAGAGAAGCAGCCGCAGGACAACCTGCTGCGACGCATCCAGGCCTTCCGACAACACAAGGGCAAGACCTTCCACACGCTGCCGTCGCTCAGCGAGGTCAAGGCCTCGTCGCGTGACTCTTCGCCGCGGGACAACAACGTCATACGACGCAAGAACAGCAAAGACCGCAACACCGGCGACGAACCTACGAGTGCTGACGTCAGCAGCAACACGACCGACCACCAGGTCGTCCCAGAGACGGCCGACGTGGCGGCGGCGGAGGTGGAGCCCAAGCGACGCGAGCGGAAGGCCAGCCGAGACGGCACGGCCACTGCTGACGTCAGCAGCTCCAGCAACGAGCGGAAACACAAGATGGGCCTCTTTTCGTTCGTGTCGCTGCCGCGCAAGGCCGGGCGTGGCAAGAAGGCCGGCGGCAAGGGGTCATCCAAGGACCTCACCCCACCGTCGCTCGCCGTCACCCCGCGGAGCCCGCGCATACCCCACCTGGACTCGTCGTCGGGCTCGCACCCGATCGCTGCGCGTCGACGCCGCCGGGAGCGGATGAGCCGCGCGGCCGACCGGCGACGCCGACGGTCGACCTCGCTGCTTGCCTGCGAGTTCAGAATGCACGCCTCGTTGTCGTTGCCAACAACAACGCATTCCACGACGACGACGACGACCGTGGCTTCGCCTCCGTGTTCGCCGCGCATCGTTGGTGGTGCTGACGTCAGCCGCGGCTCTCTGCCTACCACCGGCTCGCCCCTGCTGGCGCGCGACGAGCGGCGGCGCCTCCTGCGCACCAAGTCCGTCGACGAGCGCCTGCTGTGCTACCCACGCGAGTTCGACGACCTGCTGGGCGCCGACGGCGATGGTGGCGAGCCGCCCAGCGGCGAACACCATCTTCAGTACTATGATGGCAGCGGCAGCGGCGACCGCATGTCGGAGGGCCACAGCGCCGAGATCGACAACCACGGCAGCGGCGGCAGTGACGGCACCGAGCGGCGGGACTTGGCCAAGTCCCAGGGCGTGGCGCCCGGCAAGCGGAGCAACAAGGTGCGCGGGCGGGCTGGGCCAGTCCACTCGCCCAAGCTGTCGAAGAAGAATGCCGGCGGCAAGGGCGGCAAGGGCAAGCAGCAGAATGCGGTGCGCCAGAAAGACATCGACGACAACCGGTTCCTCACTGCGGAGAATTTCGACCAGCTGCTGGTCTACCGCGACCTCCTCCTGGCCGTACGCCCGCCTTCGTTCTTTTGTCGCTTTTTCCTTTTCGTCTTTTACGCGCGTGATACTGAAAGGCTTATCCTCTCTTGGTTAGGAATTGGTCAAGCCTGGCCTGCGGCTGATTCGCGGACTGCTCTCGGTGGTGAGCGCCACCACCGAAGACGATCCCGACGCTCTGTGCCAAGCGCTCGTCGCCATCGCCGATCGGTAAGCCCCTCTCCCCCCCCCGCACCTCTCACCGTGGCCCGCGCTCACCGCCACCACCATTCCTACCACCAGATACGGCCAGATCACCCAGCTGATGAAGCTCGCCATTGCCCAGGAACTCAACAGCACAAGTACGTGCACACTCACCTTTGTCCAGAGCTCTTGCTGCTTACAGAACGGACCATGTGACTGACTCTGCGTCCACGTCTCTTGGCTCGACTCGGCTTGCCCATTGCGTGCTTCAGCGTCGCCCTTCACGCTGTTCAGAGAGGACAGCCTGGGGACGAAGTTTCTGTCGACCTATGCGCGGGAGAAGGGCGGGGCCTACCTGGCGAGCGTGCTGAAGCCGGTCATCAAGAAGGTGGTGACCTCCCACACCTCCTACGAAATGGACCCCCTGCGCATTCCCCAGGACCCCAAGGCCACTCCACGGTAACACCCCGTCCTCTTCGTTCTTTTACTTTGCTCTTTCTACCTCTTTGCTTTTCGTTCTTCGTTCTCTCGAAACTAGAAAGTGATAGTTTTTATTCGTGTGTTCGGTTCGTCGTCGTGGCTCGTGACAGGGACGAGAACCAGCGCAAACTGGAGAAGCTGTGCCAGCACGTCCTCGATGCCATCTTCTCGCGCCAGTCCGACTTCCCGCTGTACGTCCCCTTACCTCTCGCACGCGATTCGCTGCATCACCTTTTTAACGACCACTGCACTACAGGCAAATCATTAGCAGTTACCTCTACGCCGAGGTGAATCTCAAGTTCCCGTTCGACGCCACCCGGCCTCGCGCCTGGAGCCAAGAGGGCGACGAAGAGGTCGAAGACGTACGACATCCCCCCCCCCCAATCACCCCCACAAACCTCAGCGTATCCCATGTACGCGAATGTTTATCGCTGATCACACGGACGACATACGCACACTGCAGGGCCTGGCCTTTCACCGGTCGTCCGACTGGGGCCTGGCCTACGTGGGCGCGTTCATTTTCCTTCGCTTCTTCTGCCCGGCCATCGTTTCGCCCAAACCCCACGGCATCGTCAAACGTACCCTTGAGCTCGTCTACAACCATCATCCTTGGCGCGAGCGACTTAATTGTTGAACGTTTGCCTGGGTGTGTGTGTGTGTGTGTGTGTGTGTGTGTGTGTGTGTGTGTGTGTGTGTGTGTGTGTAACAGGGTCGCCGACGCGAGAGGCGCAGCGCGGCCTGATGCTGGTGGCCAAGACGCTGCAGACGATGGCCAACCAGCTCCGGTTCGGCGACAAGGAGCCCTACATGAAGCCCATGAACCAGTTCATCGAAGACAACCAGCTCAGTCTCGAAAACTACCTTCGCACCCTCACCCAGAAGCCGCCCAAGTTGCAGTCTCAGGTGCGTGTGTGCGTGTGGCGGTGGTGCGTGTGTGCGATTTGGGACTGACGTGGGTGGCACACACGCAGACGCGCTTCGTGGCTCCCGAGAAGGAGAAGAAAACGATGCGAGACAAGTTCTCCTCATCTGCGACATCGTCGCTGTCGTCCTCGCTCTTGAACCTCTCGTCGGCGTCGGCCGCCGGGGCCTCGTTCGCCGAGCGTTCGTCGGCCGCGCTCGCGCACTCATCAGCGGCCGACCCGGGCGACGAGGAGTCGGCCCAGCTGGCCGTCGTGCAGGCCTGCTGCACGCGCAACCAGCGCAAGCTGCTCACTTTCTACTACTCATCGTCGCTGCCCTTCCTCTCGGCCATCCCCAACTCGGCGTCGTCATCAGGGGCGTCGTCGCCCAACAACTCCCCTTCTTCATCGGCGCCACCGACGCCCTCGTCGTCTGCGCCGCCCACGCCCTCGTCGCGATCGGTCTCGCCTCGCACCGGCACGCTGGCCAATCTCGCGCCACAGGCCAGCGCCACCCTCCATTCCGGCTCCTCGCCGCGCATGAAGAGCGAGGAGTGAAAAGCGGCCCAACGAAGGAAAGAACGAAACGGCAGACAACGCAACGATGAACTATAACTATTCCTGTATTCTGTCCCACAACACACAAACACAAAACCCGATTGTACTTCTAGCGAACTGAGCGTTCTTCAGGCTCCTGCCTCGCGTCCCGTGCTTGTGATTTCCCGGTTTTTCGGTCCCGGAGCCCTATTCTCGGTTCTAAGAATTTCAAGACGACGGTCGACAAGATAACATTTATTGTCGTCTCCTCGGTGAACGGCACTGCAGCAGTGCGACCAGTACACCAGGCTTTTTCACGCTTGAATCGATTGGAATTGAATCGATTCGACGCTAGGAACAAGGGAACAAAACCAACTCATCTCAGATAAGCGATGAAGCGAATTCAGCGCTACACCACCAGGCGTAATCACCCTCGATTGCCTACCCATGCTACCAACATTCGAGTGGGCGTAGCTGCCACAGCCTCGGCGCCTCACGTCCTCTCGACGACATCACCTGCCAGCGCTACTGCTAGCAGGGCTGTGGTTGTCGAATCTCTCTTCGCAGCCAATCCCTCATCTTCATCTTCGCTCTCTACGACGATCGCCTCTCGCCGCGCTTCGACCACTCTAACGGCCTCAACTCCAGCGATTCATCGCCTGCCTCCACCTCAGGTCCTCCTCCCCGCCGTAGTCGCGCTCCGCCACTCTCCATTCGCAAGCCGTATCCACCTCGACATGCTCCACGCCGACGAACATCTGTGGAATTTGCTGAGGCTGCACTCGATGCAAGGGTCGCGACAGGAGCGTGGCACCGACGCTCTCGCTCGACAGATCTTCTATCAACTTCAGCGTGCTGCCTCGAACGCACAGTCAGCCAGATCCAGGAGGAGTGACGCCATGGCCGGCCTCCTGCCATCTGTGATGGAGCGCGGCCGCGAAGTGGTGCGGCAGACGAACGATTTTATGACGGCGGTCGTCGCTACCTTCCTCTGCCTCTTCCTCTTCTAAGTGATTCAGTTCACTAGCTCTCCTTCTCTTCCATTCGTATCCGCGGTTCTGTATGATAGCATATTGCCAATAGAGCTTCGATCTCCACTGATCGAAAATCCAAATCAATTCACAAATCATTTTCTCGCCCAGACAAAATGCTGCGTGCCATGAGTAAGGGCAGGCCTCGCACTTGCGTGCGGCTGTGCCAGCAGCAGCCATGGCAGGCACTTGGGCGGCGTTTGTTCTCTGCTGACGGCAAGGTGCACTTGCCTTGTGCGATTGCCATCGTAATTGGCAAGATTGCTCACACGGCGTGCAGGGATTCCCAAATGCACTGCGATTCGACTTGAGTGCTGCCGAGATCGCGAAGACTTCACACGAGGTGATGGAATCCTACAAGAAGGTGCAAGCCCCTCTCCATCCAAATCGCCCACCATCGATGAGGCCTCACCCGGAGTCGTGGCCAGGGTTATGGGCGTATGGTGAGCGTGCCCTCTCGTGAACGCAACTTCCAGAACACTCTCCAGGTACACACAACGCGACACGCACTCGTGCGCAGCTGCCGCAGTCTGACGCGACATACGCTCGTCACGCGCAGGGAATCGCCGACCTGGACGCGTACTGCTCGGCGGTGTCGGAGAGCTGCGTGTTTCCCTCCTATGTGTCGGTAGACGCGCAGGTTCGGGACGCCGCCGGCGCGGCGAACAAGGCCCTCAGCGAGTTGGCCATCGAGACCGCCATGCGGTATGCCGCACCTCCCACCTTCTGTCCGATGTCCTCTCTCACACAACGTGCGCGCCGCGGGTCATAGGGAGGACATCTTTAAAGCGTTCACGGAGTACTACAACCATACGATGCCGCAGGAGACACTCACTCCCGTGCAGCGACGGCGTACTGCGCACCGCCCTCTATTCACTACATTCCACTTTTTTCGGTGATCTATGGGTCCGACGCTCGTGTGTTTCTTCTCCCGTCATCCAGTGATCGAGAAGACGATGCATGACTTCAAGAAGAACGGACTCATGCTCTCACCCGAAAAGCGCGAGCAGCTCAAGGCCATGCGCAAGAGTACTCGCACATTCACTCTTAGATATATCGAGAGTATACCGCAAGCGACTTACGCATGTCCAACACCACCGCCCAACCACGCGTGCTTGTTCAACTCTGGTCGAGTGCAGAGATGTCCGACAACGCCATCACCTTTCAGAAGAACCTCAACGAAGACACCACTGCCTTCTACTTCTCCCGGGAGGAGCTCGACGGCCTGCCCCAGGACTTCCTCGACGGCCTGGAGAAGGTCGATGGTCAGGTAAAGAGATCATCACACCAGCGTTCGATATCTGAGCTCTTTGATCAACCAGCTGACATGGTGATGCCGCTGTGGTGATAAGGAGGGAGGCGCGACGAAGTACAAGGTGTCGCTACGGTACCCGGAGCTGCTGCCGGTGATGCGGTATGCCAACAATGCAGAGACCCGCCGGAAGCTGGATACCGCCAACGCCGCCAGATCCATGCGCGAGAACACGCCCCTTCTTGAAGAGACTCTTGCCCTGCGACACGGTACGAACCCCAGCGTCTCCTACCTTAGTCGTCATCTCACTCACCTCCACGCGATTTTAGAGGCGGCACTCTTGCTGGGCTACGAGGATCACGCCAGCTATGTGCTCGAAGATCGTATGGCCAAGAATCCCGCGCATGTGCTCGACTTCATCAACGAGCTCTCAGGTACTACGGGCGCGAGGCACACACCGCGCACGCACTCATGCATGCACAAGGCTGGGGCGGTGTTTGACTCAACGTTGCAACCAATGTGCAGTCAAGGTGGAGCCGCTGGCACGCCGGGAGTGGGAAAAGATGATCGCCCTTAAGAAAGCCACCGTGGGCGGCAGTGACAACGTTACCATCGACTCCCACGACTTTACCTTCTACAACCAGGTCCGCCGATCCCTCTCGCTCCGTGCCTTCTTTCTTGTGTGGTGGTAGAGGGGGGAATCACTGCAGCTAAATTGGCTAAATTGGTCTGCTGCTGGGCGCAGAGGATCCTCGAACGGGACTACCAGGTCGACGAAAACCTCATCAAGGACTACTTCCCGTTCGAAACCGTGACCGAGGGTACGCTCGTGCCCAGCCATCACCACCACTCGCTACAAGCCTAGCAGCAGCAGCAGCAGCCAGGCCTGTGATGCCAAGCTCACGAATCGTGGTCGGTCGGTGCAGGCATGCTGGGCGTGTACCAGGACATTCTAGGTCTGCGTTTCGAGGAGCTCAACGATGCGCACACGTGGCATCGTGACGTGCGCATGTACGCCGTATACGACCGCTCAACCAATGCTTTCATGGGCCAGTTTTACCTCGGTACTCCCCGCCTTCCCACTATAACCACCGACACACGCGTGTGCGTGCGCCGTGTGTTGTGCGGTGTGCTGATCGTTTCCTGATGTGGCCCACATCGTCTGCAGATTTGTGGCCGCGAGAGGGCAAGTACCCGCATGCGGCCGTGTTCCCGTTGGTGCCCTCGCACCACTTTCCCTCCGGCTCGTCGTCCGACATCCCGGCCTCGTTCCTCGCCCACCTCCATCCTGTCACCGGTAATGCGTGTTCTCCCTTCGCCCGAGTCATCATGGTGCCCAGAAAGCTGACAAGGCGGTGACGTGGCAATGATGGTGGGTGGGTTGGTCGGGGGACGAAGGTGAGGGCGGGCAGCGGGTGCTGCGCCAAGCGCCGGTGGCGGCGATGGTGGCCAACTTCACCAAACCGCAGAGCGACCGGCCGTCGCTCCTCAAGCACGACGAAGTCGAGACCTACTTCCACGAATTCGGGCGTACTGTTTGCAATCTTTTCCTCTTAACACTTGCTCGCTCATCATCATCACTCACGCGCACCGCCGCCGTCCAGATGTCATGCATAACATCTGCACTCAAGCCAAGTACAGCCGGTTCTCGGGCACTGCCGTCGAGCGCGACTTTGTCGAAGCCCCTTCGCAGGTACTTGCCCTCTCTCCGCAGTTGGAGTCGGTCCGGCTGACCACCCGAGTGCCGCCTTTCCCCTCACCTTGAACACAGATGCTGGAGAACTGGTGTTACGAGAAGGACGTGCTGAAGCGCATGTCGAGCCACTACCAGACCAAGGAGCACCTGCCCGACCATCTCATCGACAAACTCATCAACGCCAAGCACGCCAACACCGGTGCCTCTACTCTCACAATTTCTCGTGATGACGGTGTTGCTGACGTCACCGTGTCGTGTTGCAGGGCTGATGAATCGGCGACAGGGCTTTTTCACGACGTACGACATGCTGCTGCACACCACCCAGAAGAACGCCCGGCCGCTGCCGCGCCACGCCGACTCCGGCCGCATCGACACAGCCAAGGCGTGGGCGCAGCTGCGCAAAGACATCACGTGGACCGAGCAGCCGCCCAACACTAACCCCGCCGCCTCATTCGGCCATCTCATGGCCGGGTACGCTCATCTCTTCCCGCGTCCCTTTCCTTTATCTACTCACCCGTAAGTGTGTGTGTGTGTGTGGTCGTAGGTATGATGCGCAGTACTACGGTTACAAGTACGCCGAGGTGTTCTCGGCCGACATGTTCTCGCTCTTTAAGGAGCACGGCGTGCTGAACGGCGAGGTGGGTCGCAAGTACCGCGACCTGGTGCTCGCGCCGGGCGGCGAGCGGGACAGCGTGGAGAGCCTGGTGGCCTTCCTCGGCCGGGCGCCCACACAAGACGCCTTCCTCCGCCACATCGGCCTCACCTCCTCCGCCTAATCACTCTGTTTTGGGGGCACCCATACTATTTGTCCTTGTTTGCCAGTAAACTCGCCTGCCCGTTCGCAGAGCTCCGAATTGGTAAAACGACAACTGGAAAATGTAAATGTAAAATTTGCTGCACACCATGGATTAATTCCTCCCCTCCTCCAGGCTACCTCCCGAACCTGGCCGAGCACCAGCAACCACGGCCACAGGATCCCCAGCCATGGCGATGGCTTCAAGACAAGCAGCCAGCTTTCTTGCAGCTTCTCAACGCCCCAGAGAAGAGAGTTGGTATGGGCATCTCCTCTCAAGTGGTGAACATGCTTTTCCGTGGCCATTGGAAGAGCATGGTACGTCCCCTGCCCCCCCCCCCTTTCTGAGAGTGCCAAGATGAGCTCCACCCCAGAAGGGCCGGAAATGCAGTCAGGAGAAATTTCAAACGCGGGCACAGGGACCCTGTGCGAGGCCCAGCAAAAAAGACAGTGCCTCACGTGAGGATCGAACTCACGACCTTCAGATTATGAGACTGACGCTCTACCGACTGAGCTAGCAAGGCGACTTGCCAATTGGCGAAAAAAGGAACAAACGGTGGAGTTGAAGAGTCCTCTTGCGGTCTGCTGTCGGCACATAAAGGACTCCGGCTTCATGTAGCCAACACCGAAAACCATCCATTGCAACATGGCGGACAACTAGTGCGTATACTCCCTTCGGTTCCGGTTCTGCAGCACGCCCCTGTTTTCCGTCGCTTTCGTTCTTATCCCCCCCCCCGCCGCCGTATAACCACCCCCTGGGCCTCTAGTGACCTGCTGTTCAAGGTACTCTTCATCGGCGACACTGATGCCGGCAAGTCCTCTCTCCTCGTGCGCTATGTGGTACCCCCCCCCCACCCACTCTCTTTCTCCTCTCTCCGTCCTCCCCGCCACGGCGAGTGCCCACGGCCATTTTCAGTTCATACGAAGAGCTTCACAATTATTTGTTGTGACCACCCTTCTTTGTTTGGGTGCTTGAAGGATGGCACCGTTCCCTCGGGGTCTTCCACAGGCACGATTGGGGTGGATTTCAAGATCAAGACGATTGACGTCGATGGCCACACCATCAAGCTCCAGGCACGTTCTTGTTGTCGCATCCCCGTGCCGTAGTACGTTCTTTGCTCACCCCTCACTTTCCCCGTGTTTATCAGATTTGGGATACAGGTACATAACCACACGACGCACACGCACACGCACACGCACACGCACACGCACTACCGCACACGCACTACAGCACACGCACTACCGCACACGCACACGCACATGCACTACCGCACACGATTTGACAATTCTGGAGGGCATGTGTGTGACACACAGCGGGACAGGAGCGATTTCGGTATGTGTGTTTTTTTTTCGTACCTCACTCTCTTGGCCACGGTGCATACAACTGCTAAGAGCCGAGGGCTACAGGACGATCACTTCGAGCTATTACCGGGGAGCCAACATCATCATGCTCACCTTCGACGTGGCTGATCGGAGCTCCTTTGAAAGGTTGGTGCTGCCCTCGCTTTACGTGCGTGTTGCGTTGTGTGTCGTGCGTGCGGGTGGGTGTCGTGCGTGCGTGCGGGTGGGTGTCGGTGTGGGAAGTGAGTTTGGCTGATCGGTGGAGTTGTGAGTAGCGTCACTCGTCTCTGGATGATAGAAGTCGAACGCTATGCGTGCGACAACGTGGTCAAGTGCCTCGTGGGCAACAAAACCGATCTCACTAAACAAAGGGTACGCTACGCGCATCGTCAACTCACGACACACACGACTCCCACTCACACCACACGCCACATCTGGTGTGACGCGATGGCGGCGGCACTTGGCTCAGGTGGTGACCGTAGAGGACGCCAAGGAGGTGGCTGCCTCGCTCAACTTGTCCTACTTTGAGACGTCCGCCAAAACAGGCATCCTGTCCCACCCACCTCGCTAGCGACACTCTAGCCCTTTCTCGCGCACAGGCCTACTCACTGTGTGTGCGGTGGTGCGTGTGCGGTGGATCAACCGCAGGCGAAGGGGTGGATGAAGCGTTCCTGGGGGCTGTCAGGCAAGTCCTCAAGGCCCAGGGCGCAGTGCCCAAGGCGTCCGGCGTGTCTCTGCGTGCCAGCGCCCCGCCCAAGAAGAAGGGCTGCTCCGTGTAGCCACGCCGTGCCAGCGAGCCAGTCACACACGCGCGTTTTATTGTGGCACGACACAACACGTCTGATTGAATCGTAGAAGCGACTGGTGTGTCTGGTGTGTAGCTGCTGTCTATTGTACAAATATATGATGTATGGTGGCGGTGGTGCAGATATTTTCTTTTCACAGGTTGATCGGCAAGAAGGCGTAGATGGCGGACTTCTTGAGGGCCAGCTCGATCACCAGCTCCACCTTGTGGTTGTCGTACGACCTGACCGGGTTGAGTGGAGCTGCTGCGTCAGTACAAGCACGCACCCCAAGTGGTCGAGGAGTTGGGGCTGTTTGGTGTCGTTGGTCGCGTACCCTTCCTTGCACGCCGGAATCTTGTAGCTCAGCATACCGTCGAACAGTCCTGGGGAAAAAGACGTCAGCACACGATATACGGCACGCACACGACCAACGACACGACCAACGACACGACCAACGACACGACACGACCAACGACACGACACGCCACGCCACGCACCTTTTTCGAGAGGGAATTTGGAGTTGGTGAAGGAGATCATTTCATCTGAGCCTTCAAACTTGGGAAGGCTCTTGTTCTTCTCTCGCCGCTTGTCGTCCTTCTGTCGCTCGGCCGCCGTGCTGTATGACCAGATGCCGTGCAGAACGTGATCAGTTGACCGCACGCCCGCACACACACGCACACACACACACACACACGCACACGTACGCGCACACGGCACGTACGGCACACGTACCTCTTGGCCAGCGAAGCGTTGACGTGGCGAATGATCTTGGTCGAGTCGTTGATCACCCTGAGCTTGATGGCGACCTCGCTCCCCACCGCATACTTCTCCCTATGGCACGACACGTGCACGCAAGTGCGGAGTTGAATAAGAGTGTGGTGCCGACCGACGATTTGATAGGATCAACGCACTTCTTTTCGATGGAACAGTGGACGCTGATGATCTCCTTCTTGGAGACGCTTTCGACGAAATCGTCCGCCTCCCGCCCGCCGTGCGACGTGACCGAGCTCGACGTCGACAGCGACGACGACGACGAGTTGAGCCGCGGCGACAGGATCGACGCCGCGACGGAGGCCGACGCCGGCGGTGACGCCACCACCGGCGGTGGACCCATGGGCGAGATCAAGCCCTGGCGCGGGGCCACGGGCGGCGGCGAGCGCATGGTCGCATAGCTGGGCACCGGCGATGACGGTGAGGAGCCGGTCGTCGTCGTGCGCGGGGCCACGGGCGGCGACGCGCGCGCAGGGCTCGACGGTGACGTTCGACTGCCGTTCGGCGGCGGCGGCCGCGCGAACGCGAGCGCGCCGCTGGGCGGGACGGCGGCTGCCGAGGGCGACGGAGAGGCGGAGGGGGAGGGGGAGAGGGGGGTGTCGGAGCGGCGCGAGGAGGGGCGGCGGGGAGGCCGGCGGGGAGGGTGAGCGGCGGCGGCGGGCGGAGCGAGGAGGCGGGC